CCGCAGTGGCGCGGGTGTACGTGTGAGCGGCTCCGTCCCTGGACCGGCCATTGAGTGAACACTGGTTCTGCATGTCACCGTTCTGCATGTGGCCAAGGGTGTGACACTGAACCGAACAAGAGATCAGCACCGGCCTGGCAGTGCTTACATTCACAGACACAAAATCAGATACACAAAGCAGAGTGCATCCACTGAGAAGGTGGAGACCGTGTGAGACTTTTGTCAAGATAAAGAGAACGTGAAATGGTCAGTTTGAAGAAGACAGAGTGGTCTAGGGAAGTGGGTAGGACCACCGGTCATCGCCCAAGTGTTCAGTGTCCGCAGACATGCATCTCAAGTGACTGTTTCCTTCAGCCACTTTGTCATCTTGTGGGGTGGAAACACCAGTAGGAGAGTCAGATCCTGCCGAGACGGGGGCCTTCCAGGAGGAAGGAGGTGAAGAGAGGAGGGCAGAGAGATGGAAGGCGCGTTTGCTGTAGTGATGGTCCGCAGAATCTAACTGCGGTAAAGACGGGAAAAAACTGAATAATGTTAGGACAGTGGATTTGATCTCTTGGTGGGAATGAAGAATTACTGAAGTGGCCCCTCAGGTGAGCACACTGCAGAGATAAGAGAGAGTGGTACCCCTGAAGTCAAGGTTTGGGAGGCTGTGCGGTTGGTTACATCACGGCAGAGTTTACGGTAGCTCTTGTCCATAGGCGAGCCACTAGCGTAGGAGAGGAGTGGCTCTTTGGTGCGGGAGATCGGTTCACGTTCTGTAGGATACTGAGCTTCCTTGGTCCCCAGGCGCTAATCACCTTGCGCGGTGTCCTAGCTGTGGCTGTGCGAGCACCACGCATCCCCTGCTCCAGGTTCACGTGAGAGAGGAACCGCGGGTCTAGGCTATGACCCATCGATCTGGTGGTTTAGCTAGAAAATAGTCTACCGGCTAGGTTGTTTGGGGCTGCAAGTCATAGATTTCTTAAATAATACGGATTTGTTATCTTAGGAAGTCAGAAGTAGACCATTCCAGGGCCCGTATTGGGGTTAGCTTCTCTTTAACGTTCATGGCTTTCCTCTCATGATTCTGCCATGCTGTCCAAGTTGCAGACCTTGCGTGCGCACACGTGCAGAGACCAAAAGAAGAGGGTTCCTTTGCTTTCATCCATCTCTTACTCAAGAGGAGATTTAAAACTTTTCCGGGAAGCCCCAAGTGGACTTCTTCTCAAGGTGCTGTTAGTTCTAACTAGGTCCCATACCTCATTCTTAACCAGTAGCGGCACGTAGCATGGGACTTCCATGTTTGACTTCAACCGCCTTCTGTGTTTGGCTGGTCTGCCTTGCCAGAGCACACTGTTGCATGGTTCCGGAACGTAGTTCACAAGCCATAAGAGGGAAAAAAAATAAAAAAAAAAAAAAAAAAAAAAAAAAAAAAAAAAACCAACAGTGTGGGCCTTGGAGGATTTGTGTGGCTGAGAAGCCAGAGTGGTAAGTGGATTGTCTACTTTGATGTGAAAGTCACTAAGAGTAATAATGAAAAGGGTTGTAGTGGTAAGGACAGTGAGCAATGTGCGGAATTGTTATTTAAGGAGAAGAAAACAATGGCTGATAACTCCCGCGGAAGGCTCCAGACAGAGGTAACAAAGAGGAGCCCATCTCCTGCCCACCTCCCTGCCCTGCTGCAGGGGGAGTCTAGGAAGAAAAGTAGCTGTTACTAGTATTCCCGGGCTGTTTTTCTAGCTCCCTTCTTCTCCTTCCAACTCAGATACTTTTTTTAAAACAAACAAATAAGGAATGTTTCTTTGAAAATAATAAATACCAAATACACCAGTATTTACCATGTTTTGAACCCAAAAATAAATGTAGAAGAGTACTTACTGGATGTAGAAGATGATGGTTGGATGCACAAAAGGTAGATCTTACACCTTTAGTTCAAGTTAATAAATACTGGCTGCCATGCACATGAAGATCATGATACTATTCTCTATGCAATTGGTACAAATTAATGAGAATACCCACCTCCCCTGAAGGCCACAATGTTTTGGAGCTTATGTGAGTGTGTGTATATAAGTGATATATATAAGTGATAATATGGTATAGAGATACTAACATAATTTACATAAAGCAGTATATAAATAACATAAGTAGTATAAAGCAACCAGTCATGATTTGTACTAACAGACAATTACAGCGAAGGTAGAGGCTTCCTATTGTGAACTCTCCATAAAATAGCGCAGTAACTGTGGGAGCACAAGAGTGGATTTGTTTCTGACATAAGATTCTTTTATAGTTTGCTTTTTTCCAGATCTTCTGATAACATCTGGAAATACACTTCCATAGAGTCAATGTTTCTTTAATACTTTGCGTCTTCTGACGCACATACTCATAGTCTCTATTTTTGCTAAATTTACGAGCCAGAGGCACCTGGAGGTGAGCGTCAGCTGTCATACGTAACATTTGGAGGCCGGCATTTCTTTCTTTCTTTTTTTTAATAGTTTATTGTCAAGTTTTCCATATAACACCCAGTGCTCATGCCCACAAGTGCCCTCCTCCATGCCCATCACCCCCCTTCCCCTCCCCCCCACTTCCATCAGCCCTCAGTTTGTTCTCAGCATTCAAGAGTCTTTCATGGTTTGCCTCCCTCCCTCTCCCCCACTGTTTTTCTCCTTCTTCTCCCCCATGGTCCTCCGTTAAGTTCCTCCTAATCCTCCTGTACGTGCAAACATATGGTATCTGTCCTTCTCTGCCTGACTTATTTCGCTCAGTATAACACCCTCAAGTTCTATCCATGTTGCTACACATGGCCAGATTTAATTCTTTTTCATTGCCATGTAGTATTCCATCGTATAGATAGACCACATCTTCTTGATCCATTCGTCTGTTGATGGACACTTAGGCTCTTTCCATGTTTTGGCTATTGTTGAGAGTGCTGCTGTGAACATTGGGGTACATGTGCTCCTATGCATCAGCACTCCTGTATCCCTTGGGTAAATTGCTAGCAGTGCTATTGCTGGGTCATGGAGGAGCTCTATTGTTAAGTTTTTTGAGGAACCTCCACACTGTTTTCCTGAGGGGCTGCACAGTTTACATTCCCACCAACAGTGTAGGAGGGTGCCCGTTTCTCCACATCCTTGCTAGCATCTAGAGTTCTCTGATTTGCTCATTTTAGCCACTCTGGCTGGCGTGAGGTGGTATCTCAGTGTGGTTTTGATTTGTAGTTCCCTGAGGAGGAGGGATGCTGAGCATCGTTTCGTGTGTCTGTTGGCCATCTGGATGTCCTCTTTGGAGAAGTGTCTGTTCATATCTTCTGCCCATTTCTTCACTGGGTTTTTTGTTTTTCGGGTGTGGAATTTGGTGAGTTCCTTATAGATTTTGGATACTAACCTTTTATCTGATATGTCATTTGCAACTATCTTTTCCCATTCCGTTGGTTGCCTATTAGTTTTGTGGATTGTTTCCTTTGCTGTGCAGAAGCTTTTAATCTTGATGTGGTCCCAGTAGTTCATTTTTGCTCTTGATTCCCTTGTGGATGCCGGCTTTTCTGTATGTCATAGGCACACGACCCGTAGAACAGTGCAGCTTTGAAATACATGGGTCCTGTGCCTTTATTTCCTTTTCGATAAATACAGTATAGTACCATAAATGTGTCTTCTCTTCCTCATGGTTTTCTCAGTAACATTTTCTTTTTCTCTAGCTTACTTTTTATTGTAAGAATACAGCGTATGATACACGTAGAATACAAAGTCTGTGTTATTGACAGTTAATATTATTGGTTAGGTTTCTGGTCAACAGGAGGCTGTTAGTAGTTAAGTTTTTGGGGAATTGAAAGTCAGACACGGATGTTTGGGGTGCCTGGGTGCCTCAGCAAGTTAAGCGTCAGGCTTTGGCTCTGGTCACCATCTCACGGTTCGTGGGTTTGGGCACCACGTCAGCTCAGAGACCAGAGCCTGCTTCGGCTTCTGTGTCTCCCTCGCTCTCTGCCCCTCCCCTGCATGTTCTCTTTCTCTTTCTTTCTCTCTCTCTCTCTCTCTCTCTCTCTCTCTCTCTCAAAAATAAACAAACATTTAAAAAAAAAATTTTTAAGTCATATACAGGTTTTCAACTGCATGGGGGGGGGATCATTGCCCGGAACCCCATGCATTTTTCAAAGTCAAGTGTGTTAACGTCTCTGAACCTCCCTTCACACACTGCACTCTGCTTTGAATGTATCAATCAGACACGGGAAGTATGGGTACCACATGACGACCCTTCCTGCCAGAATGAAAGGGACCTGAATGGTTGACCCGCTGGTAGGGTGCAGCTGCAGTGTTTGATAGAAGGCCGATCCTCTCTTATGTCTGTTATACATTTAAAGATACGCACATTGGAGTTTTGGGACTTAATTGTGATGTGTTTGCATGCTTTTTGTCAACGAATAGATGTTTTGATCAGTAGAATTATATAAGGATTTCTATAGAAAGAAATATATTGGGGCACCTGGATGGCTCAGTTGGTTAAGTGTCCAACTCTTCATTTCGGCTCACGTCATGATCTCTTGGTTCATGAGTTCGAGCCCTATGTCAGGCTCTACACTGACAATGTAGAGCCTGCTTGGGATTCTCTCTCCCTCTCTCGCTGCCCCTCCTGCACTCATGTTCTCTCTCAACATAAATAAAGTTAACTTTAAAAAAAGAAATATATTGCTGTTAGTTTAATATTGTTTATGGGGCACCTGGGTAGCCCAGTCGGTTAAGCGTCCGACTTCGGCTCAGGTCATGATCTCACTTTTTGTGGGTTTTGAGCCCCACGTCAGGCTCTGTGCTGACAGCTAACTCAGAGCCTGGAGCCTGTTTCAGATTCTGTGTCTCCCTCTCTCTCTGACCCTCCCTTGCTCACGCTGACTCTCTCTCTCTCTCTCTCTCTCTCTCAGAAGTAAATAAAACATTTTTTTAAAGTTTTAAAAAGAAATTAAATGAAAATAAAAGAAAATTGTTTTAACATGGCCTTATTTCTCATTTTATCCTTTATTTTTTTTTTTTAAGAGTCAACGCAGACAGTCCAAGCTCTGCAATATTCAACTGCTGATGGCCCGCTAGCAGCCAGCAAGGATTTAGAAATCAAAGCCTTGAAAGAAGAAATCGAAAAACTAAGGAAACAAGTAAGAGGTAAATTTCTGTGATTCACTGTTAATTCAGATGAGTAGGTTTAAAAAAAAAATACGCTGTTTACACACACAACGTATTTTGAGTGCCAGTCACGTGTCACACGATATGAGCTCTGCACTGGCGAGTGGAGAGCAAATCGAGGGGTTTCTGCTCTCAGGGTGCTCACATTTTGGTACCGGGAGAAATAGCATCTGCAGGACCTGAGAAAATAAGCGTTGGTGCGTGGGGAGCATTAGGAGGGTGCCTGACTGAGGCGCATGGTAACAGAGGCGGTGTCTGGGGGACGTCTGTTAGTCTGGGATGCTTCGTTGGGGTTCGCCTGGCTGCCATGTTCATAGTGCCAGGGGTGAGGAAGAGGACAGCGTAGGCAAGGAGAGCGCATGTATGCGGATGGCAGGACAGGCGAGAGTGTACCTTCCCGGTAACAGCTCCTTCCAGCGTATTGGTGAGACGCAGTTAAATTAATGTAGGCAAGTGTCACTAGGCCTGCTCCGTCCATTCATGGTATTTCGTTCAGCGTATACTGCCTGCGCCCCTGCTGGGGGGCAGGTGTGGTTTGAGGCTCTTGTGATGTGGTACTAAGCACAGTGATGGTCCTAAGCACGGTGATGGAGCTAAATATGGCGGCTGTACTAAGCACAGCAATGGTACTAAACACAGTGAGGGTATTAAGCACAGTGACGGTACTAAGCACAGTGATGGAGCTAAGCACGGCGACTGCGCTAAGCACAATGACGGTACTAAGCATGGCAGAAGTGCTAAGCACAGTGACTGAGCTAAACACAGTGACGGTACTAAGCACAGTGATGAAGCTAAGCATGGCGACTGTGCTAAGCACGGTGACAGTACTAAGCATGGTGATGGTACTAAGCACAGTGACTGTCCTAGTCATGTGACATAGTTAAGCACAGTGACAATACTAAGCACAGTGACGGAGCTAAGCACAGTGACGGTACTAAGCACGGTGACTGTGCTAAGCACAACGATGGTACTAAGCACAGTGACTGTGCTAAGCATAGTGACAGAGCTAAGCACTGTGATGGTGCTAAGCATGGCGGCAGAGCTAAGCACAGTGACGGTACTAAGCACAGTGATAGTACTAAGCACAGCAACTGTGCTAAGCCCGGTGACAGTGCTAAGCGTGGTGGCAGAACCCTGGTCCTTGCGGGCCTGGGAGGCACCCAACAGCAATAAGGCAGTGGCTGTGTGACTCTGTAAATGCCACACTATGTTAGAGGCGGTGGAGACTTGAAGACAGCAGAATAAGGAGAAGGGGTCAGGGGTCCGGGGTGGGGAGTTCTGTAGTTTTATGCAGGCTGGTCTGGGGAGAAGCCCCACTGAGAAGGTGACAGGTGAGCACGCACTCGAAGAAGGTAAGGGGCTAGCTGTGCACTTACGTGGGAAGTAGTTACGTGGGAAGTAGTTACGTGGGAAGTGTGTGTTCCACGCAGAAGGACCCGCCAGTGCAAAGGCCCTGAAGTCAGAACGTGGCTCACGGGTTCAGACGGCGTGGCTGGAGAAGGACGGAGGAGGCGACGTGGAGAAGTAGAGGATCTGATCAGTAGAGTCCCACTGACTGTTACAAGGTTTCTGGTTTTTCCTGTCAGCGTGATGGAAGCCTTTTGTGGGGTGTAGAGGCGTGGCACCCTGTCTCAGGATAGGGAGAGAGAGAAGGTACTGGCTTAGCCAGGGTAGTCAGGCCTCTCCAGAAATGCCGTTTTAAGACTGAAGTAAGTGAAGGAGAAGAAAGAATCTGAGACAGTCTTCAATTTAAAATTTTTTTAATGTTAATTTTGGGGGGGTGGCAGAGAGAGGGAGACACAGAATCTGAAGCAGGCTCCAGGCTCCAAGCTGTCAGCACAGAGCCTGATGTGGGTCTTGAACTCATGACTGTGAGATAGTGACCTGAGCCGAGGTCGGACACTCAACTGACTGAGCCCCCCAGGCGCCCCTAAAAAGGACGGCTTAAATGGCAGGTAATTTGCTTATATTAAATACATGGAACGCTTAAATTTGACCATAATTTATGCTGTCCTATTTTATTAAGTGGCTCTCTTCCTAAGAGATATCTCTATCAAATTTCTGTAGCTTTACCTTTCTCAAATTAAGGTATTTGGAAATGTGATCAGCAGACTCATTTGCTTTGCCTTAAACCTCAAGAGCACTGAGTGTGTTGGCTACATGGCACTGAGAAGACATCCGCTGGGGTGGTCGGTGACGTATCTTCAGGGAGATAATACGGATCGGGATGAGTCACTCATAAGCCCATCTTATTGGCTCTAAGAGGATGGTGGTGTTTTTTATTTTTTAATTGATTCCTTAAGATTTTCTGTGCAGTCATCTTGCATCTGCAAATAGGACAGTTGTGTTTTTGCCTCTCTGATCTGTGTGCTTTTTATTTCCTTTTGTGGTGCTGCTAGAATCCGCACCGTGCGGAAGAGCGAGGAGAATGCACATCCTGGCTTTCTTCCCAGCCTTAGGGGGAAGCCTCCAGACTCTCACCCGCAAGCGCAATATTAGCTACACGTTTTCTATAGATGCTCTTTACTGAGTCAGAAGTTCACTGTATTTCTGAGAGTTTTTATCACAGGTGGTTGTTGAAATTTGTCGAATATTTTTTCTGCATTTACTGATAGGAACATGTGATTTTGCCCCCTTTACTTAGCCTATAAATATGGGGGATTAGAGTGGTTGATTTTGACATAATTGGACCAGCCTTACATCCCTGAAGTAAATACATGACCAGTCATGGTGTATAGTTATATTATTTTTATGTGTTACTGAATTTTATTACTAGTGTTTTTGCATCTGTATACGTGAAGGATATTGGTCTTTAGTTTTCTGCCTTTCTTTTTCTTTCTTTTGTTCTTTGTACTGCCTTTGTTTTTGTTTCTGTTCTTTAATTTTTTTCTTATTGAGATATAGTTGACATGCAACATTACATTAATTAGCTTCAGATGTACACATAATGATTCAGTGTTTGTATGTATTGCGAAATGACCACCACAGGACCTCCGGTTAGCCACCGTTAGTACTCGTACTTACAGATTTTTTTTCTTGTGCTTAGAAATTTTAAGAGCTACTCTCGACGACTTTTCAGTATGCGGTACAGAATTATTAGCTGTAGTCCTCATGCTGTAAATGGCATCCCCAGGATTTACTTATTATATAACTAGAAGTTTGTACCTGTGATCACCTTTACCCCATTAATGTGCCCTGCACCCCTCCCTCTTGGAATCACCAATTTGTTCTCTGAGTTCACTTTTTTGGGGTTTTAGATTCCACATATATGTGAGATCATGCAGTATTTGTCTTTCTCTGACTACTTTTCCTTAGCATAATTCCCTCAAGTTTCATCCACTTTGCTGCAAATGGCAAGATAGCCCTCATTTTAATGGCTCAGTGGTATACCATTGTACATATACCCCACATTTTATTTATCCATGTATCTGTCATCGGATATTTAGGTTGCTTCTGTGTCTTGACTATTGTGAATAATGCTGCGGTAAACACAGAATGCGTATATATTTTCAATTTAGTGATTTTGTTTTCTCTGGATGAATATTCAGGAGTGGAATTGCTAGATCCTTTGGTAGCTCTATTCTAATTTTTTTTAAGGTTTGTTTATTTTTGAGACAGAAAGACAGAATGCAAGCCCTGTAGGGGCAGAGAGAGAGAAGGAGACAGACTCCAAAGCAGGCTCCAGGCTCTGAGCTGTCATCACAGAGCCCAGTGCAGGGCTCAGATTCATGAACCCTTCAGCTCATGACCTGAGCTGAAGTAGGACACTTAACTGGCTGAGCCACCCAGGTGCCCCTCTTTTAATTTTTTGAAGAACCTCCATACTGTTTTCCAAAGTGGCTGCACTAATTAGCATTTCCACCAGCAGTGCACACATACCGTCTTTTATTTGCATCCTTGCCAACACTTGTTACTCCTTGTCTTTTGGATGGCAGCCATTCTAACAGGTGTGAGGTGATAACCTCATTGTGGTTTTGATTTGTGTTGCCCTGATAATTTATGACGTTGAACACCTTTTCATGTACCTGTTAGCCATCTTTATGTCTTCTTCGGAAAAAAAATGTCTGTTCAGATCCTCTGCCCATTTTCTAAGCGGATTGTTTGTTTGCCAGTGATTTATGAGTTATTAAAATATTTTTTCTATACTAACCCCTTATCAGATCTATGATTTGCAGATTCTTTCTCTCATCCATTGGTTGCCTTTTTATGTTGTGGATGGTTTCCCTTGCTGAGCAGAAGTAAGTTCAACGTCGCCTCACTTGTTGATTTTTGCTTTTGGTGCCCTCCTAGTGCTGGCCTCATAAAATGAGTTTGAACATATTCCTTCCACTTTCATTTTTTAGAAAATTTCAAGGAGGATTGGTGTTAATTCTTTTTAAAAGGTTTGTTAGAATTCACCAGTAAAACCGTCAGGTCCTGGATTTTTTTTTTTTTTTTTTGGAGGTTTTAATTCAGTATCTTTAGTATTATTGGTCTGCTTAGATTTTTTTTTTTAATGTTTTTTTATTTATTTCTAGGAGAGAGAGAGAGAGAGAGAGACAGCGTGAGCAGGGGAGGGTCAGAGAGAGAGGGAGTCACAGTCTGAAACTGGCTCCAGGCTCTGAGCTGGCAGTCAGCACAGAGCCCGACACGGGGCTCGAACCCACGAATCGCGAGATCATGACCTAAGCGAAAGTCAGACGCTTAACCGACTAAGCCACCCAGGCGCCCCTGCTTAGTTTTTTTTTAACTTATTCACAGTTCAGTTTTGTTTGATTCTCTGTTTCTATAAATTATCCGTTTTTCTAGGTTATCCAGTTTGCTGGCTTATAATTGTTCATAGTAGTCTCTTATGATCTTTGTATATGTGCTGCCCATTGAAATGTTTTCTGTTTCATTTGTTTTTATTTATGAGTCGTCTTTTTAAAAAAAATTTTTTTAACGTTTTATTTCTTTCTCAGAGAGAGGGACAGCGTGAGCAGGGGAAGGTCAGAGAGAGA